TCTAGAATGTAATAGATTAAACACTAAGGTTGCTATATTTTCAATTATAACAATTAAATCTTTTAAAATACTTACCAAAAGGCTTTGATTTCATTTTTTCTATTAGCTTCTAAGTGAATTTCTGAGACATACAATCATAATTTGGTTTGTGGATATAAAAAAGAATTTTAATCTGATTTAGTTATAGAGAGAAAATACTTCCTTCCAGTCAGTAATAATATCAAGATGATATGTAATTCCTTATCAGGTGAATTAGAAGTGAACAAATCACATTAGATATATGAAGGTGAAAAGATAAATAAAAATTTTAAAAAATTATACTTAGCTCTGCTTTGAATGACAAAGACTGAAACACTAGAATATTTTGTTTCTTTCACTAGCGGATAATTGTATGTTTGCCTAAGATAGTGCCACAGATCCCTTCCATTATTATTCTAAGCATCTTCACATAAGGAACAAAATAAAATTATTTTCTTTTAATTTCAGATACTAACATCTACTCTACCAACATGAGCCTCTATTATCCGCTTTGTGACCCGTTACTTCCCTTTATACACCTCAAGCTTCACTGAACTGGGCCACTTCCTCCTCCCTAAATGTATCTATTTCTTTCCAGCTCTAGTCTGAGCTCTGCTTGGAAGATATACTCTCCATCTCTCTGTTCCCCTCTTTATTCCCTTTCAAGCCCTCCCACCTCTCAAGGTCTATCTCAAAAGTGCCAAGCACCAACCTACTCTGAGAATGAATTACCAGTTCTTGGAGGAAACAGCACCTTTATTCAGCCTTAAAGAATGAGTTAGTATCCATTAGTTGTTTTTCCTGGTGGGTATTAACTCATTCTTTAAGGCCAGCTTAATACCTGGGAGATGAAATAATCTGTACAACAAACTCCCATGACACAACTTTACCTGTATAACAAACCTACATATGAACCCTAGAACTTAAAATAAAAGTGAAATAAAAAATAAAAAAAGAAGACCTGGGAAGTAAGCAGGCAGTACTGCTGTGTAAAGCTTTATATCCAGCTTAGCAACTCAGAACTCTGTTTTCAAAAACAAATGTAAAAAAAGAATGAGTTAGAATTACTCATTACTGGAGGTGCAAGGCTGAGTAGGGAGGGGAAGGAAAAGGTAGAGGGCATTAGCATTCTTTGTTGGCAGACTGGGGAAATGAGTTAAGGAACGGAGAAGGAAAGCTACCTGATAGATGTCAGCAAGCTACCAACAGCTTTCTACTGACATCAGTTCTGACAAGGACTGGTGAGGAATGAGGCTAGAAAGGAAGTCAAGTATCGCATCAGGAAAGATTTGGGCCCATGAAAAATGTTATACTTTTGTATGGTGTGCTCCTTCAGCACACCATACAAATTTTCATAGAAAATTTTCATAGAAAAATGGCATAGTTCCATTGGCAATTTGGCACACTGGAGGCCCACTGATTATGACCCTAATCTGGTCTTCACAGCTCTAATTTCCATTGCTCTAGTATGAAGTCCCCAAACTCTCATCAGATTTAACTACTGCCTCTTACCTAAACACAACCCATATCTTTCCTGCTTGATAATCTCACTCTAGAAAAGCAAATCCCATTTTGCCTATCATCTGCAAATATATATATAATGCTCTTCCAAGGGTGTTTGTGAGGCTTAATGGGCTAACACATGAAAGTATCCAGTCTACTGTTTGTTGTCACTTATTAGAGGTACGATTTTCTTCCTTCTTTCTGAAGATTTACCTAAATCTACTTCAAATTACAGTTATATATATACCTGCTACAAAATTGCAAACTCCTTAAAGCTAGGACTATATCTCAAACAGCAGCTCTAACCAGGGGAAGTTTTGCCTTTTAGAGGACATGTGACAATGTCTAGAAATATTTTTATTGCTTCAATTGTTGACAGTCTTGATTGTAGGATGTTATTGTTTAAACATTGACAACACATAACAGCCTCAATAGAACAGTATTCCAAACCCAAAATGTCAGTGGTAACTAGAACTCTGCTTTAGTTCATCATTGTAGCCCAGGTAGCAATTAGCAGAGTTGCATATTACAGGAGATTGGATTCTTCTGTTCTCACACTGCTCATAAAGACATACCCTAGATTAGGTAATTTAAAAAGGAACGAAGTTAAATTGACTCACAGTTCAGCATGGCTGGGAAGGCCTCAGGACATTTGCAATCAAGACAAAGGGGAAGCAAAGACCTTCTTCACATGGTGGCAGCAAGGAGAAGAAAAGCCACTATATGTGGCTTCACATGGTGGCAGCAAGGAGAAGAAGCAAAGGAGGGAAAAGTTCATTATAAAACCATCAGATCTTTTGAGAACTCACACACTATCATGAGAACAGCATGAAGGTAACTTCTCCCATGATTCAGTTACCTGCCACTGGGTCCCTCCCACAACCCCTGGGGATTATGGGAACTACAATTCAGGATGAGATTTGGGAACACAGCCAAACCATATCAGAGACATTCAGAATTGTTAGAAATAATTTGAAACCGCTCTCTATAGGTAAATTTTATAAATTGCCACTGGGGAGGTAAAATTAAATTAGAAATGTGTACTGTATAGGGAAATTGGAAGATAGCAGAGTTTATGAATCTTGATTAATTTGGGGAACACAAATTTCCATTTGTAGTTAGAGGTGACCAATTTAAAAGCTAAAGTTCTCTTAATCAGCAAGCTTTTGTAAAAAATGCAGCAGGATTTACTTTTATATCAAAGGAGCTCCCCAGATAGTTAAAGAATGAAAATGAATATAATTAAAAGATCATTGGTAAGCAGAATGCAGTGCCTTAGCTGCATTCTGGGAGAGTACACTTAATAATCAAGAATCTACTGACACTTTAATGAGAAGTTTAAACTTATTGGCCATGAATCTCAGAATGTATCGATGCTTATTACCTAGATATTCATTTCAAAGAAATGAAGTGATGAGTAAGAATTTTTTTAAAACAGTTTGTAATTAGGACAAATTGCTTTACAAATAATTTAATAAGCATTTAACACTGAAAAGAAGAGGAAAGCTACTGATAAACCTGTAACATTTAGCCACATATAGTAAGAACTCAATGTGGAGGAAGAAGTGAAGCTATAAGCAATACCAAGGAGATTTAACCACACCCATAGGCTCTTTACCTAGACACAGCCAGATCCAAGTACCAATGTCAAGCACCCATGGGACTGGCTCACTCCATAAAAAGAGCATTTTCATGGGTCCTGGTGGATGAAAGATCAAGATGTGTTAGTATAGTCTCTATTTTTCCAGTACTCGTGAAATCCTCAAATCACTATGTGATTTGAGTTTGGATAAATCAAAATCTTTGCTAAAGCCAAATAGGAGACATTGGTTTTTAATTAGTACTCTGAACTTTAAAAATAAGTCCCATAAAAACAAAGACCTTGATGATTCTATTATATAAAGAAGTGGTTCTTATTATCACTCTTATTGCCAATAGCAACATATAATTCAAAGAGAAACTTGCTGATTTGATAAGTTTTCTAAAATATTTCTTAAAAAGAAAACTCAGTCTTCTGATATAGCATCAGTGGTATTTATTTTTGACTCTCTATGATGTATACTGGTGCAGATACTACAGTTGGGGGTAGAGAGGGCCGAGAGTATCCATTCCCTCTCCTCCAGGATCTAAAAACAAAAGTGTAAGAAGTGTTACATAAGTCTTTTTCCTTCAACTCTGCCTTCCCAAATGTGGTCACTGCTGCTTCCTCTATTGTCCAGGAATGACCGCTGTTTTATCCTATGCCAGTTCTTTTTGGAAGATAACTAGAATCTGCCAGAATGTGCTTTCTCTCTCAAGTCCAAATTAGGGACTTGAAAGTTTCTTTTCACCAGAGACCGCTTTGTCTCCTAATAGTTCTGTGCTCATTAAATACCTATTAGTGTAGCCTTTGACTTAAGATGTTCCACTCACATCCTCCAGAAGATCACTATCTGTCACCTAATGAAAAACAACTTCATTAGGCTTGTCGCGGTAGTTCCTTTTTTTCCCGTGCTTTCACTTCCTGATTGAAGACTGCAGCTTTTCCTAATGTTTTCTTCCCCACACTAAATATTATTGTGTGGGGTCGGTCCTCAGCCAGATCAATGTCTGTCTGAAACGTTGTTGTGAATAATCTTCATCACTGTTTAAAGGACATACCTTTAAGGATTCCTCCAAACTAGATCAATTTGCAAAAAAAGAAAACAAATAGTCTTCTACTTATCTAGAAATTATATTTGTTTCTTTTGATTAGTGTTCATAAACTGACTAAATAAATATTGTACTAGTAGGAAGGAATACAAAAACACCCAATCTGAAAAAATAGAGAGATCAAATGACTTTGTTGTGCTCCTTTACAAGCACACAGACCTTTTTGTAGTGTTTCAGAAAAGATAATGTGATGTATGTAATGCCATATTCAATGCATTTTGATGGTACTCCCTACTTATAGGTGTCCATCTCATCACTTCTCTGTAGCATATTGTCTTAATCATACTCAGTATGCTCTGGTTCCTGTTACAGATCTGAGTCTTCCTTACTTACAAAGAGCCCATGCAACAAACCACAGAATCACCTTAATGTTTTTCCCTCAAAGCATTTTTCTGATGGTCTGTGAGAGTCCAAGTTTTAGAATCTTAGGTACTGAGCTAATGAAAAGTAAACAAGAAGTTGATCGGCACAAATGCAAATGTTAGTCCATTAGTGAATCGTCATAAGTCTTTTTCTGTACTGAAAATAATTTGTTTTAGATTGCTTGGCAATTAACAAATCTTACACGTAAACACAGGTCAGAGAAAAACAGAGTGATATGTTTATTTACAACACAGATGAGCATCATTTGAATCAAGAGTCCACACTGGAGTCAAGATCCAGTCCAATGAGCCATGTTGGAGCCCTAAGTCTGGTTGTAAACTGCCTAACTTTGAAAAGTCTCTCCCCAGTGAGGTCTGGTTTTGGTGCCTTTGTCTGATGTCTAAAGCATCTCTGTTTTGTTTCAGCTGGCAGGTTTCATCTACGCCTGTTATGTTGTGAAATGTATAACTGAAGAAGAGGACAGCTGTAAGTATTAAAGCTCTATTCTGTTTCTTTCAAATTCAAAGCATCTTCTTTACTGCCTCCTACCTAGCCTTCCTAGTCCTCAGACAAGATCCCACAACACAGCATTAGAATGGAGAATAAGCCTTTTGTGCCCATCAGACCAAAGTGTTTATCATAACGGTATCCAGCAAAGTGAAGAATGGAGAAGCACCCATTTTGAAAACATAACTTCTTTCTTTTCTTTGAAGGGCTTTTAAAAATCCTTTCCTCTTATAAAAAATTCTAGTAGGGAACAGAGAGGGGAGATTGGAGATGGAAATGATTTTAAAATGTGGCTAACTTGACTGTTCTCTTTTTATGATCCCTTTATTAGGCATTGATAACTAACCAGTTTCACCCAAGACTACAAATCCCCAAAATCAACAATTTGTAGTAGTTGCTAAGATTCTTATGGAAACTGACTTCAGATTAATTCAGAGAATTGTCTTTGGGAAATCAAATGTCCATCTGTCCTTTTCGTTCCTACTATTTGATACAAATGACTAGAACTCTAACTATGTCAAAGGCTCAACATTGAGACGTATTGCTTGATCCAGAATTTAGATCACAGTACACTCTTACAGTCCTCCCGGGGCTCTGTCATTGTCTGCTCTCCAAAACATGGAGGGTAGAAGGTTTTATTCCATCCCTGCCCCTAAGGATCTAAAATAGGAGAACTGGGGAAAGTACTTCTATTCTCTGTGGGTACTGTAATGGATAATTGCCCATATAGTTACATTTACTCAGAGGAAAAATCAGAATTGGGAATCATTTTTCTTGGTTTCAAAAAATATTTATAATATTGGGTGTTTGAAACAGTAAGGAAAGAGGAAGGTGAGAATCTGATGATTTGAGGAAAACATCCAAAGATAAATATATGTTTCTTCTTCCCTTTCCAATTATACTAGAAAGGAAGAGGCAATATCAAGTGATTAATTTAGAAGAGGCACTTTTCAATCATACTCATACATGATGTAAAATCAGAAGTATATAGTTTATAATTTATTTCATATATAAAACGAAAAATGGTCCTTTCACTAAATAAGCATTTGTAAAATATTCCTTAGTGTTTTAAGTGCTATGTGAGCCTTTGGAGATTTTAGGATGATTCACACATAATATTTTACCTCTAGGAACTTGCCAACTAGTAGGTAAAACAAACATATGAGCAAACAAGTATGAAACTCTGTAGTGCATGCTGTGGGTAAAGAGAAGAAAGAGATCAGGAGAAGGTTCATAGAGAACACTTTTGAGCTTGATCTCAAAAGATGAATAGATCTTTACTGTGTTGCCGGTATGGAAGCGAGGGGTGGTCCCAGGCAAAAGGTGAAAAAGCACATCACGGCCAGATTAATGTGACTGAATTTGTTTCCTGTGCTACAGGTAGACAGCTGGAGAAAATTGGAAAAACATGTATGAATGAGATAGTAGAAAAGTGGGTATGAAAGATTAAGGAGTTTGAGCTCTATATAATACAATCACAGATCAAAGGGCAGATAGCTTATAAAAAGAGAATAACATAATCAAAAACGTTCTTTAGAAAAAATACATTAGCATCATTATAAAGAAGAGACTCAAGAGGGGGAAAGATTAGGGAAGAGAACTAGTTAAGACACCATGAAAGTGCGACATGAGATAATGTGAATCTGGACAAGGATCGGTATTGGAGATAGAGAGGATAGGTGTGCCATGAGACATGCCAAAATGACATGATTAGTGGGCAGTGGTGGGTACTGTGATAAGGGAAAAGGAGGAGACTGTTAGATTCCTGGGTGTCTGATGCAAGTGAATAGGTAGATGGAATTGCCACTTGGGAAGAAAAATGGGAATAAGATCACTAGTTCAGTTTGCACAGGTTGAGTTTGAAGTGCCTAGCGCCTATATAAGAGAAGACATCCAGTAAGCACTTGCCTTATACAGAAAAGATTTATTCAAAGATTAGAAAGGGCAAAATATATATGGATTTTAAAATGCGTGGACCACACACACTATGTAAGTTCGTTGAGATATTACCATTCAGTGTCTGTGTGCCAAATCCCTGATGGAGGGGAAGTCCCCAGTTAATTTTCATATGGAAGTTGGGCTTTCTCTGGGCTATGTTGTTTGATTTCATTTCACAACGATACCAGTGCATTTTTATCTTCAGACAATACTTACTGACATACCATGTCTCCTACATGCATAATCAGCATTTCGGCAGAATAGTACCTCTCAAAGGAGATCTCAGAAATGCTAGTTCCATAAGACATACTGCTCAAAAAAAAAAAAGAAAAAAATTCCAAAGCCAAGTAAGGTTGACACTGAAAATTTAGAATGCACATTTATATATTAACATTTCTAAGAGTACTGCCAGAAAGAAGTATGTCCATTTTTTTTTTCTAACCCACAATTTTGTTTTAACTATATTACCTTGAGGCCAGACACAGATCAAAGAGAAGAACCAGAAAGAGTTCTACGGCTTGATTATACCCACAGTTCGCCCGGGAGAATACCACATGCCCCACAGCGGCAGGAGTGGGGTCAGTCAGGAGGCAGAGAGAGAGCGGAACCTTTAGTTTGAGTCCTACAAGAAGAAATGGATGAGGCAGGGTAGGAAGGTTTATTAGGACAGGTTAACTGTGTTACAAAGTGGTGCCCCATGAAATTCATGTCCACTGTGACTATTAACGCATAGGTTTAGGGCTATCTAAAGTCTCCACATGTTTTTTGGAGGTGAGTCAGGGCTTACTTGGAAACAGCTAGTGGTCATTTTGTAGATGTTAAAGCATCAATTTATAGAAATTAAAAGTATTATTAATGCAAGTCTCCCAAAATATTTGAACACAGGACTCCTGTTTTTCACCAACCCCACTCCCCGCCGCCAGCCGCCTCTATAAAAAAGCACTTAATATTCCGGAGAATTCTTCTAAGGGAATTCTGCGCTAAACCAAGTTTTGGCCAAAGCGATGTAAATTCAAGGAGATTCAAAGTCACCAATATCTGTTGGAAGATCAAGTTATCTCTCAAGCATCTAATAAGCTTTTTCCCCCAAAAGACTCCAAAAAATAACATATATGTCTTTATGTGTATCTTGACCACAACACCACATCTGCCTTTATTAATCCAAAACACAAGTAGACTTCTAAAAGACAAGTTTTATCATGTTAGTCTTATTGCTCAGTGGGCAAAATATGAACTCTTTTTTAAATTTTTATATACAAGTAGACTGATGCTTATCTCAGATGTTCATGGGACTAGTAAACAGGTGGGAGGACATGCTCATTTGGACTGGCTCTCTGTCAAGTGGTCTTCGGTGACTTTCGGTTAGGTTCATTTACTTGTAGCCATTCACACCTAGACAGTTATGAGTATCTTTTGGTTACAGTGCTTTGGGTTGATATTCTCCATATATGATCACTTGCCTGATGTCCATCCTCAGACACTGCCTGGACATATGACTTCCAATCCATCGAGTAAACTAGGTTTGACTTTTCTGTGTAATTTTGGTAATTATATTATAAAAATTATCCCGATCCTTAAAAAGTTTGGTGAAAGGTTAAAATAAAACCACTCTCAAACAAACCCTGAAACTTGGGAGGGGTTTAATGTACATGCAAACACTGAGAGGGTCCCTATGTGCCTATTTTTACCCACTGTGGATTTGCAATAACGCATCATTATTTGCAATGAAGCATAGTGTCAGGAGTAGGTGCTAGCTACCTGCTTGCCAAATTGGTTAAGTTTCCATTATTAAGAGCCTTATAAGGAACAGAGGACAGCTTTGGTTCGGTAGCTAGTGCTTAGAACGACTGTGGAGATAAGGGCCCAATGATGGCAACTGGATAAAATATTCTTGAAGTCAACATGAAGCTAATCAGTTATGTGCTCAGTTCTGATACCTCAGCCTCACAGCAACAGGTGTACCCAGGAAACTTCAGAGGAAAGAGGCAGAAACCTCCAGGAAGCAATGGAGAGGGTTTGAGCTCAATGCGCAAAGACTCGAGCCTAGATGCAATGAAATAGCAGTAAATCGTCATTGAAACAGAGAGGCTCATGAACATCAAACACCTGAGAATTTTTTCCCTTATGTATCCTTTTAAGCAGTATCTCATTACTCTTCTAGAGTCCAGTTTGATTAATATTTGTAGAGATACTGTTTTAGTTCCCTTGGGGTACTATAGCAAAATATTATAAGTAGGATGTCTTATAAATGACAGAAATTTATTTCTCACAGTTTTACAGGCTGGAAAGTCCATCAAGGCACCAGAAGATATGGCTTCTAGAGAGGGCTGGTTTCCTTGCTCATAGGTGATACCTTCTTGCTGTAACCTCACATGTGAAAAGGGGCAAGGCAGCCCTCCGGGACCTCTTTTAAAAGGTTAATAATCCCATTTCTGAGGGCTCCACGGTCGTGACAACCACTTCCTACAGGCCCTACCTCCTAACACCATTACGTTGGTGATTATGTTTCGAAATACGAATTGGGGAGGGACACTAACATTTAGATCATAGTAGACACTATATTGCAAGGGTTTTTGTTTTTTTCCATTGAAAAAAAATCTGGACCTTGAAGTTTACATCTCTAACCCTTTAGTTATCTAAGCCGGAGCCACAGCTTGGCAGGCCAGCTGGTTGTGCAGACTCACAGGGCACCACTGCCATCTGCTGTGCCTACCAAGAGATGACAGCCACCCTCAGAGCAGAGATCCCAAATTAGATGTGACACTCCTTCCGCCATGAGTTAGTCAGCTACGGATGCCATAAAAACATACAACAGACATAGTGGCTTAAACAACAGCAATTTGCTTTCCAAAGTCTAGGTGTTAGAAACCTCAGGTTTGGTTTATCCTGAGGTCTCTGTCTTTGTCTTGTAGACGGCACTTTCTGTTGGATTGGGGCCCTATCCTTATGACCCCATTTAACCTTCATTACCTCTTCAAAGGGCCAATTTCCAAGTACAGTCAGGCATATTAGGAGTTAGACCTTCAACATATGAATTTGAG